TATTTGTAAATTCTTTTCTTTTTTTTTATATCTTAGAAAACTAGAGTTTATTTTGTGGAAAATGATAGATAATTTTATTAAAACATCAATTACAGATTTTATACAGGAAGAAATAGTATCTAATAAGAGATTTAAGATCAATAGTTTGAATATTGAGATTTTTAAAGATATTGTTTTGAAGAAGGTGGACAGGATGAACTTTTTTGTATTCTGACCGAGAAAAATTTTCTAACTCCGACCCTATTCTATCATGAAAAATCTCTATCTTTACTATAGGTCCGTAAGAAATTAAATTTATCCCAGTGTATCTTTCCTGTAGGTTTTTATATATTTTAATCATTTTAACTATTCTTATCCATCATTCTCTACTTCTTTTGATTCTAGAACTACTTTAATTCTCTCTGATTCCTTTAATTATTTTAGTCCCTTTGAGGGTGTGAGTGTGACTGTGGACGTGTAGATATGGATGTGAGCGTTGGTGGACGGAAAGTATACATCCACATCCTCAGAGGAACTAAAGAGATGAAAATAGTTATAACTGAAAATGATTTTTAGATCAGGATGACTTTAATTTCTTGTGAGCTTCTCTTTTTTTGTATCCTGCACCCTGACTAACAATAGAAGGTTGTGTATCATTAGAAAAGAACATTATACATCTTAAGGTCAAGACTCTCAGTGGCAAACTGACAAATTTAAAATATGAGCTGTGCATGACATGTACTGATTGAGATAATGAATTTTTTTAGATATTTCTAGTGTATGTAACATACTCACAAGTGAAAATTTTAACACTATTTATTTTACTTTTGTTCATTGTGATTGAATAGAGCTCGTTGAGTCACATAAGAAAAAGTGTGTTTCAAACTTAAAAACAAATTTTAAAAGGTGTCATAAAGGTCAAAGCTTTTTTTATCTATTTCTCTTTATATTTGAAAATAATGGTACCTTGGACATTTTTCATTAATTTGTTTTTTAAATTCTTTTTTAATTTGTCCTAGGTAACTTGACGAGGTCTATCTGACCATTATGATAAAAGAAAAATAGTGTTAAAATTTTCACTTGTGACCATCTTTCATATACTATAACTACCTAAAAACTTCATTATCACCCTCGAAGCATGCCATTGGCAGTTCATATTTTAAATTTATTAGTTTACCTGTGAGAGCTTTAATTTGACCCTAACATGTCAAATGTTTTTTTCTAATAGTACGAAATCTTCCATTGTAAGAGAAATTTCTTAGTCCCTATTCTATTCTTCTCTGCATCATAGAATAGGCTAACCGTGCACATCTTTAATTATCTTTTCCATTAAAATTTATATATAATGATTCGACAAGAAGAAAAAAAGAAACTTTAGAAGGAAAATAATTTTAATACTAAAGCGATTTTTCTTTTTGAAAAAAACAGTTGGCATCTAACCACACAAATATGCAACTGTTAAGACCTTTCCTCGAAAATCGATCTTGGGTTAAGTACATTCAAATCGCATGAAATTTTCAGTTTAAATCATGACGTTTTCGAGAGATACTTAATAAACAAAGGTCAAAAATAGCTCATTTGGCAACCTAAAATTCTTTGTGAACTTTCATTCGATATACTTAATTGTTTTTTTGTTCAAAGGAATATGCCAGGATGTAGAGCATGAAAGAACATCTTTTTTTTGAAATTTTTACTTTTTCAACGAAGAAAAGTTTAATGTCTTGAAAAATGGTGTTCTTTTTATAAAAGTATTCGTGTCACAAAGCTTAATTCAAAAAAGAGACTCTTTCATGCACTTCATCTTGAAATTCTCTTTCAAACAAAAAAAAATAAATTAAATATACAGAATGAAGACCTACAAAACATTCTAGGTTGTGCAGCCAAAAAAATATAAACAAAGAATTCCGGCTTTTTCTGAGAAAAAAACCATTTTTCAAGCAGAAGGTGACAGAAATCAATAAAAAAAATGAGGTGACAAATAAGAAAAAAGCCAGACTTCGGAATAGGTTCCCATGCACTTATCCCAATTTTCATTTTTTTTTTGACGTAAATTGACTTTTTTCAATGAGGACCTTAATTTATCTTGATTGTTGTCTGGTTGTAAATAAAACATGAATAAAGATTTTATTGATTATTTTAATATAAAAAAAATTGTTTTTTTACAAATTAGATTTCCGAATTCAATCACATTCAATTAGAGTCTGTCGAGTTGGTTCCAGACTCAGTCGTATCCGGGAACTTTGGATCCGACGGGCTCTATCTTCAATCTGATAAAACATTTTTTTTGTTTATTCATCGAAGATTATCTATTTTGAAAAATTTATATTTTGAATTAACTCTTTTACATTAAAGTATTGTTTTATAATCTTCTTCAGAACTACCAAAAATAAATTTTATTTGAAAATTTATTGCTATTTTGATCTTCATTTATAAAATTTGAAGACTCTATTTTGAACTTTTAAAGGTATTTATCACATGTAAGAAGTATATAATATCAAAGAACAAATTTTTCAACCATTCGGAAGTTGTTTTCTTACATTACTATTCACATACAATCAATCAATTTTCAACTTTCTATTTTGATCTTGTTAATGACACTATTTAAAATAACTTTTTACAAATTTCCTATTTCAATTATTTGTATAACTCTTAAGATGTGTCGAATATTTTTTTTCTAAAATTTAATTTTTTGATTAGTAAAATTTTCTTAAAACATAAATACAATATGATATATTGTTAAACTTACATGTTTATTAATAAATTGAAGATATTGATTATATTGTTGAGCTTTAAATCGATCTCGATCAATACGTGTTTTATCCAAACGTTGAGATTGTTGACTTTTTGCCACTAAAAAGGGTTCACGTACATTACAACGATAATTTCGATAGATAAATTCTCGACGACGAAGTGTTTCAAAATCAAATTTATTTATTAATTGTTCATAATCCTATAGGGAATAAAATATTCTTTTTCAAAAAACAAAAAAAGAAACATAAAAGTTGAGGTTTTATATATATATATATATAAATATAAATATAAAATTTATTATACTAAGCGGTAATGATGGATAAGAAAGCAAATGTGCTGAATATTTAGAAAGAAATGTGTATAGGTGAACAAAATATGTATATATTCAAACATAATGAACATGCGTTTTGTTCAATGGAAGGTTCATCTAAAGATTTGTGATTACTACGTTAGACTGAGTTTGGTTTCTTAAATGAAAAATAAAATAGGAATTTATTTACTTTCATAAGTTCTTGAGTTGTAGCTTTAATATCATTATATGAACAATTTATATTTGATTCTCCCTAAGTAATTTTCAGAATTGATTATTAAATTAAAACGTTTTTCTTTTAAATTTTTACTGTTTGAAGTTTTTGTTTTAATCTTTTCTGTTGTTCTTCCCATTCATTAACTTCAAATAATCGATGTGCACTAGCATGACGTGATAAACGACGTTGTTTATTTATTGGTTCTTGTTTTTCAATTATATCTCCATCATTTGAGAATGATGATGAATCAGTTCTTACACTTGATGAGGCACTCTAAATAATTTATTTTATACAAAAACAAAAAAAGCTTTAATTAATAATAAAGCTTTTACTTGAATTCGTTTAGAATTTTGTTGAATATAATCATTTATAAATTTTTCTTCAGGTTCAACATATACTGTTGAATCAGGTCTTTGTGTTAAATCGGTCAATATTTCTGAAACAGCTTTCTCTGATACAACCTCGATTGAACCACCTCGTCGTGGCTGGCATAATGATGGCATATTTACAACAACACAAACAAAAAAATCCAATTTACTAGGTGTTTTTTACAGACCAAACATATAACAATCCTTTTTTTTTTTCTATAACAAAAGGTTGCTATGGAACATAAACAAATTGTATTCAATGCGCGACATCTTATATAGAGTTCTCACTTGTCGATTAATCATACAATATTAACTTTGTTTTTTAGTTCTGTTTCCTTATTTAAGTATACTTGAATAAACTTCAAAGTTGACTTCAATTGATGTTATTTTTCCGATTGTTGTTATTTTTTTTAATTGCTTTTTTTTCTCAAATTTTTGCGTCATCTTTTTTTTATACTTAGTTAATAAAAGATCATACATCCGACATGTTATGTATATGATCTTTTAAATTGTTATTGATTCTTTTAAAAAAAAAAATGACATGCTAGAACACTATGGTGCATAATTTATTTCTATCTATTGTCATGTATTGTAGGCGTAGGACGTGAGAATATAGCTTTACTCTTTGTCGTTTTTCTTGTTATACTATGAAGATCAAATGACATGTATGAGAATACCTTGTACTCTATATATGAATTATATTAACTAAGCATGGCTTATGATTATTGGTACCGAAGCACATATATTTTTTTATGTGTTTCTATTGACTACTCATATCTTTAAATATCTATTGATAAAATGCATTTCGTACGAGTCTATCAATGTGTGGTCTGTGACGTGGACCTGTCAAGCGATATTTGATGAAATTTTTTTTTTCTTTCCATGTCAAATATAGACACGTACGTTTTGCAAGAGAACATAATTACGACAAATACATAGCAGATTTTGTTCTTCTTTCTTCGTGTCAGAGTACCGTTTACATATTTGCATAAATTAATATTCATATCTAATGACACCAGAAAAAAACTAATAGAGATACTTGTGTGTGACATACGTCACACTCTTTCTCTTTTTCTGTCTCCCACCTTTGATTTTTTACTCCTTTACTTTAACGTCGGGCAAAATATGCCTCTAATAAAGTTAAGAGAAGAAGAAAAAAAACACCAACACAAAAAATAATATAGAAAAAAAATTAATAGAAAAAAAAGAGAGAAAAAAAAGAGAGAAAAGAAAAAAGAGAAGTATTTTGCTTACGGAAGACATTTCTTAGTTTGACGTACTGAGATAAGTTTGCTTTTGGACCTGCTGCGGGCAGCAGTGTAAATAAAAAATCGCGGGCGATTAACACTAAAACTACTGAACATAATCCAATACAATGTCTCAACAACAGCAAAATTCATTTTGTGATGGATCGGCTGGTTCGATGAATGATCAGAATAGTCTTTATCGCAATATTTATGCTCAACAAGAAGAATTAGAAGTAGCTACGGTAATAAAATAAATACTAATCAAACTCATGTAGTTTTCTTTTCCTTCTTACATTATTTCATCATCCTGAATTTTGGTAAAAGAACTTTCATCATTGAGTGTGTATGTGTGTCGATGTTTAGACGTCATTAAAAAAAAGGAAGAGGAAAGTCTATTTTCATATTTGAAGTAGAAGACAGATGCGTAAGATCCAAAAACAAAAAACAATTGAATTTATAATGTTTTTTTTTTGTGTACTTTTCGTACTTAAATGGCAAATTTGACTGTGTAAAGTAATATTTACAAAAATAAAAAATTTTTCTATAAAGGTCTTTATGACCTAATGAAGATTTCTTTCATAGATGTAATGAACTAATATAAAGTATATTGTCTACAATTACTTAGACGATAAAAGAAGTTTCTTTAATTTTTTTGTCAAAGCAAAACAAAAAAATAATATATTTCTATATGATTTAGCTACCGGCAAGACGTCGTGATTATACTAATTTCTATTTTGACCAACTCTATGTGGGAACATTAATACAACAACCTGGAGAAAAAAATGTTATTCGAACTGGTGGAAGAAGAAATAAAAATGAAATATTAGGTTTAACACTTGCACGTTTACTTAAAGAAAAATACCTGACTGGCAACACTTATTCGCGTAAAAAAAACCAAAAACATTCAAAATTTTTTAGTTGAAATTTTTTTTTTCTTTTATTATTTTAGAATATATGGAACTTTTACATGGCATTCCAACGAATGTAAGATAAAATGAAAATAAAAGAGAAAAAAAATACATTTTTATTTTTTCTTTTGAATCCATTAGTTAAACAATGGTGAATTTATACTTGTTCTTCGTACTAATGGTCGTATTGTAGCTATTAGCGATGAAGCTGAACATCATTTAGGAAAATCAATGGTAAATAATCTTAAATTTTAACATTATATTAAAATAAAAATATATAATTTCTTTTAGCGTTCATTATATACGCAATTTATAAATATTTTTGAATGTCTTAATGAAACTGATGGTAATAAATTACGATTGATTCTCAATACTTCAACTAACTTAGCTGATCAAGAACATCGACTTGTATGTACTTTTCGTTTACCTAAAGGTAAACGTCCCAGTCGAGCAAATGAAGATGTCAAAGTATACAGTTATATTTTATTTATTATCTCTTATATAAAATAAAAAATTCTTTTTAGACAATATCAATGGCTGGCCATTTTTATTCATGTGATGATTCGTCATCACATGAAAAATTATTTATTGCTCGTTGTGAAGCTTTAGTATCTCATAAAACAAAAGGATCGAGTTCATCACAAATACCTACGATGTTTCATAATGATAATGCAAAATCAACGATAAAGATAACATTAAATGCAGATATGTCAATTAATAATGTTTCATCAAAGTAAAATTTTTATAAAAAAAAAAAAAAAAAGAAAATATTTAAAATTAAATTCTTTTAGTGTAAGAGAAATTCTTGGTTATACAACAAATGACATGATTGGTAATTGGTTGGGAAGATATACACCACAAAATGATTTAGAAAAATTTGAAAAAATTCAACAAAAATTTTGTAACAAAAAAAAAAACATTAAAAATTTTATATTATTCTAACACGTCTTTTTTTGTATTTTAGTTCAACATGAACAACAACAAAAACCAATACCAATAAATATTTGTGAAATATTCGATATGTATACAAATAATGGTGATGGACGTTTAACATTTTTATGTCAACTACGATTAAAACGTCAGCGACGATCAAAATTAATTTCATTTGAAATTGTCGCTCAACCTATTGAGTAAGTTAAACATTTTCTTTTTCAAAAAAAATTTTCATTCAAATTTAATTAGTCCTTCATTACGAGATGATTATATTAAATATATGCAATCGGAATCAGAAACTAGTCCAATATCAAACGAATCCCAACAAGTAAATTTCGGTGCGGTGTTTGTGTTATATTTATAACTAATTTCATTTGTTTACATTATTTTTCTATGTATCTTAGTACCATCATCTATATCGGAGACGAGCAAAGATGCGATCATGGCCGATAGCCCGTCACTCGCCATGGGCCTCCTCATGTTCAACAACGATAGAACAAACGACCTTTCCCATCAACATCAATATTCATCGGTCAGCCGACAACTATCAAACGTTGTCGCACCGGTCAATATAAATGATGAATTTCGGGAGCAATTATTCAATGTCAACTATAACCAATATCCAACGTCAGCAAATCTTCAATATTCGCCAACAGACACCTTCAATAATACCTTCATCCCATGTCAATTTGACCTTGAATTAGCAAGTTATATTGAAGAATATTTAGATGGATATTAAAAAGGCAAAGGTTTTTCTTGATATGAGAGAACACATAAAAGATCACGCAGAGTGTTGTTTTTTTTTTGCCAGAAAGAAAAGTTTTCTTTTTCTTCTTGCTGAGCTTTATATTATATTCATTTCTTCTTTTCTTTTATGTTAATGCAGCAGGCTGCTGAAATGCATTTTTCTTACATTTCTCATTCATTCGACAAAACCTGGAGCTTTCGAATTTGACTTGTGTTTTTTTTCGTTTTGTCTCATTGCTTTCATTCTTGTTAGCTTCTTTTCTGTTGGCTTATGTTATTAGCTTTCTTAACTACTTCGAAAAAAATTGTGTTGCGTGATCGACCGGTGAACTCGTATCGCATTTTTTTTTTGTAAAGTCTCATGATTTTTTTCAATGTGAATAAAAATATCAAAAAAGAAAAAAAAATCTTTCTTTTATCTATGGAAAAAAAAGAATTCAATAGATGTAATAAACATTCTTTTAACATGGTTCATTAAAACAATTTTTTTTCTTGAAATTCAGAGAATTTATGTAAATAGATATATGATTAATTAAAAATTAATTTTATTTGATTCATAAAAGAAAAAGCTTGTCTAATATAACATGAATATATATATGTATATATCTAATTTCGACATTTTCATGCAATGTGTCTAATATTCAAAAGAATACAAATTAGAAACGTACTTATTCCACTTTTTCAACATAAAAATCATGATATTTATGAGAGTAGTTTTATTATTAAATCAAAATTTATAGAACCAAACAAGACGAGAATACAACTACTCAACATAAAGTATTATTTATCCCTATTACCTTTTTAGCATGTCATTATTCGACTGGAAAAAAAATATACTTGAATGTCAATGTATTTTTCCTTCCTAGATGGCAATATTCGTAAAATACTTCCTTTAATAATTCGTCTACTTTATGTATATTTGTTATATGGCATATATTAATAGTTTAATCGATGAGTATTAATTGTCTACTTATGTATTTATAAAATATTTCGTATTCATATGCATAGAGTAATTCAACTTATTTTTTTTTCTTTTTACAAAAAAAAATGTCATAATAAATAAATAAGAAACTTAAAGATAAGATATTTTACCAAGTCGTGTAACATTAATATATTTTATTTATTTTTGAAAAAAAAATATAACCTTAATATTACCAATTAAATTTTTCGTAATCAATCCTATTGAAAATCTGTCATTAGTAGAAATCTTCCAGGACACATAAAATAGTGTATAATTACTGTTTACGATTGTGATATAAATCATCAAGCATATTGAATTTCGATAAACTAATATTTAGGTAAATAATTCAATATAAATACAATATTTTTCATGATATTCTAAATATTTCGACTTACTCAACAGTTATATTAAAAAAGCAATAAATAATCGATAATTATATGAATAGAGTATATGTGCCATGGTCTTTCAGCCTTGATAGTAAACGACATATACACCCTCACTTTACTCAAGCAGACGAAATTTTCTAAAAATGGGTTGAAACAGTCTAATCGTAGTTCTCATTTGTACATTATCATGCACATTCAAAAAAATGCCAAAAGCAGCTACTTTTATCATAAAAAAATATTTAAAGATAATTAAAAAAACAACTTTGACAGCTGGAAAACATCTAAAAAGTTAGCTCACAATACTTTGACATTCGTCATGTATAGAGAAGAAATTTTTATCTGCGGACAAAATTTTTGCACGCTTCTTAGGTGTAAAAACTTCTTTTTTCTTTTTAGTACTCTTCACATAATGAAAGTGTTTGATCGTGGCGTTTTCTGAATGGACGTGAAAATGCCTAAACGAGAATCTCGATTAGAGTGTTTAAATGCATTTTGAAAAATTCTTGTTTACTTGAATACTTTTTTTTTTCATTTCCTAATTATTCTTACTAATGATGATTATTTACTACAACAATTGCTTTATCCTTCTTTATTATTCTTAAGCCAATGAGAGTTATAATATCGAAAAAGAAAAATACAATTACTACATATTCTTATTTTATAAATATACAATAGATAATGAGTTTAAAATAGAATGTAATATGTCAAAAAAAAAAAAAGAAAGAAAAAAACATTCACTGTATTTTGATTTATATTTTACATAAAAAGCATTAAAAACAAATGATATAGATAAATATGACTAGGCAAATAGAGAAGAAGATTATGACTAGATGTCTGAATTAAAAAGATCCTAAAAAAAAACACAAAAAGATTTATTTTATTTATAAAATAAATATTTTGAATATAACTTACATGTACATTGACAATTAAATATTCGACTAATTTTGCCTGATAAGGTGCTTCAAGTAATGTTGAAAGTGTTGTGTCCTCTTCCGCTCTATCATAAAAAAAAATAATTGATAATTTCTTTTTTTATATTTTCATTTCGTCAACATTTTATTTCTCTCTTTTGATAGAATGCATTTAGACACTTCTTAGAACTTACATAATTAGATAGGAAGAAAGGAAATCCTAGAGTTCATGAGCAAGAAAATAGCATTAGAACAACGAAGAATAGAGGGGAAAAAAGAGAACCTATCAAATATGTTTTAGAAAAAGAACTAAATCCATAATAGATGACTAACAACAGACAAGAGATAACTAATGAATCGAAACATATACCTATCATTCACAGTGAGCAATAACGTGGACAATAAAAGTGAGCTTTTCCAAGATTTGAATAGTAACGTATAAGCTTCGATTAACGAAGTTTTTGGGTAGAAAAAAATTTTTGTCTCAGTTGCTAAATTCATTGGAAAAACTTAGTTGCAAAAAAAACAGGGTCGAATTTCAGCATCTTTAGATTAAAATACGAGTTTTTTTTTGTGGAAAATAAAAAGAGTTCAACAATAAATCATATATAGTCTAAAACTAGGATTTCTCCTCTATCGAGTTATAAGAAAAATTTTCGTTCTCAAAAAAATAATTAATTCGTTTTCCGAAAAGATATCTTCAGTAAAGTTGGCCGCCACTTTGTTTTCACTAATCCAATATCGACGAAACTTTCAAAGAATGTTCTTCTATATCTAGGACATACACTTACTTTACACAAATGCTTCTAAACTGAGATACAAATTTTCTACGACTTTTCGCGATTTCTTTCTGATAGAAGCACTTTGACAGAAACATAAAGACATATTTGAAATCAGCGTGAAAAACTGCATTGAATGATATATCATTTGGTAATTTTTAAAATAAGAAATTTTGTTTACAGAAGTTTCAAGTCTAATATGTCTATTTAAAAAAATCGTTCTTGACAGAACACAAATCATATTCACGTGTTCGATAGAAATTGCTCAGTGTGTTATTATATGAATAACAAAGAAAAACATGGCTTACAACAGATGTCCAAAAAAGTTCTGATTAACTTTACTTTACGCCCATGCATTTTGACACAATCGATTAATTAATTTTATGACTAATAAGTATAAAACGCATGACACTTTCTATATGATTAATTCTCTATCTTCAAAAGAAGACAACTTTTCATTAATTAGTTTTTCATAATAATGTAACTTGAGTTAATATATTTATGTCAATATAGGACAAGCATTCAGATTTTTGATTTGAAAAATCCTAAAAGACTGATATCAACATTATTTTTGAGCTTGTTTAATCCCTCCTTAAAAATCGATCTTGAACTAGGTTTATTGAAATTGTATGAAACTTGCAGAATATGTTGTAACTGTAGTGGAGAGGTTATGGTAAAATTTTCATCTTTATATCATGACGTTTTCAAGAGTTATTCAATAAACAAAGGTTAAAAATAGTTCATTTGACATCTCGACTTTTTCTATGAACCTTCACATTCTATTTCCTTAATTATCTTTTGTTTGAAAGATTACATTAAGATGTACGACATTGAAGAGTATTTTTTTAAAACGAAGAAAAATTCAATTTCTTAATAAATAGTGCTGTAATTACAGAAATAATTTTTCATATAATAATAACAATGTTTAATTCAAAAATGAACCTCTATAATGCTCTGTATCTTGACATGTTCTTTCAAATAAAAATAATTAAATATATAGAATGAAGACTTGTAAAGAGAATTTGAGCTTGTGTCATCAAAAAAAATCTTAACAAAGAATTTTTGCTTTTTCTGAAAAACAAATATTTTTCAAGGAGAAAGTGTCGAAAAAATCATTAAAAGTGTTTTGGTTTTTTGAAAAATTCCTTTGAAAATTTTGTATGCTTGAACATAACAGAAGATCGAGGGTCTTCTATGGTGGGAAGAGGCTTACTATGGATGCTATATTTACTTATTATGGCAAATATTGAAAAATTATTATATCAAAAAGCTTTATCTTTCTAATGTAATCAAATACACACGGATATTTATCAAATATTTCTCTATAGAAACTGTTAAGTGTGTCCTTATCAATGCAAATGTTCTGTTATCAATGCATATTTATTCAGTATGAAACAACACTAATGTTGATTTGTTTTCTTTTCGTTTTTGCATAATCAACACTTATCTTAAGTGCACTTTATTAAAGTTAGATGGATTTAATCGTGTTGTATATTTATTGCTTTTGTTTTCTAAATAGATATGTACCAAATCTGAACTCCAATTTGATGTTCAAACAGAATAGTTTCCGTTCAGTATGAAATAGCAACTTTTTATTTTTAAGGTTTCTTGTAGCACACTACTAAATATCAAGTAGACTTCCGCGAGACAGTTCTGAAAAATCATGCTTACTCTGTTCTGCGGGACAATCGAGGTCGTCCAGAAAATTTTTTGAGGAGAAACAATATAGAAAAAAGCCGATGTACCGGATTCTTTTTTTTATTCTTATATCAAAACGTGTCGTATAAATCAAACTTTTTATTTCTAGCAAATATTTTAATATTTAAATAAATAACAGAAAAAGGAACTAGACAGCCACTCTCGAGCAAATCTCGAGTAGAAAAAACGGCTGACTGCACGAGTCGAAAAAAATGTCAGAAAGCTATCCTATACGACAGCTACTATTTCTAATTCTTAGACTTCCGTAGAAGAAATTATAATGAATGTCAGTCGCTTTCAGCTATCTTAGCTCAGTTGACAAGTTAAGAAATAATGAATCGAAACTCACTATCAACATACAAGGAAATAATTAGCTGTTAATTATCGTCTTCCGCATTTTTATAACCTTCGAACAGAGCCGAGTTTTTAAAAACCACATTTCAGATGTCCACTTATCACATTCTCACGATCTCGACAAACGTTTTTCGCATTTTGAAATGATAGTTAGGTATGGAGAACGAGTGGCTGACTTGAGTCATGGCTAATTCGTCGAAAAGAAGAGGAAGAATTTGCCATGGCGACTTAGCAAGTGAAAAGAAATAAGTCGGTTACTACACTTTGTGCAATCAGCTGTGTTTCAACAAACGGAATTTGGGACATGAAAAAGTTTAGTTCCGCAGACTCTTCTATCAAGCCTGTAAACAATATATTCAACGGAGAATTTTACAATAGATAGTAACATATAGAAGCAAAGATCGGTCGGCAGGTAGACGACAAAAAACGATTTTTGCTTATATCTGAAAATTTTATAATAAGAGGGTATTTTCATCAGAATAAAAACACATCTATTGGTGCTAGACTGTTTTGCTCATATCGGATCGAACCCAATGATTCGGGTTGATCTAATAGAAATCAGTTATGTGAGTGGTCGAATCAGGACAATAAAATGTTGACACGTACGAATATGTATTTTTCTTATTCTTACCGTTGTTGAGATTTAAAAAGTGTCGGTCCAAAAACAATGCCTAAATTAACTGCTGACATTTGATTTTCTTGTTCACTTAATGATACTAAATGTAAATGTTTAAGTAAATAAATTAAAGCTTGTCTAGCATATTTTGAAATTTTTTGTTCAATTATTTCACGTAAATGTTCATTTATACGTGTTGATATTTGATTTGATGTCATATAAATTTCTTTTCCAATATTCATTAATTCATGTTGAATTATTGTTGCTGAATATGGTGATTCAACAATTAATAATAATGGTACAGGTAATTCACGTAAATATTTTTTTATTGCATTAGCTAATACAATAGGTGAATAATTATTTATTAAATCATTTTCATTTAATTCAACACCTTGTACAAATTGTTGACATAAATGATCAACTTTTGATTTAACACCTGATAAACGATAAATACCTTTTAATTTATGTCCTTCATGTTGTTCAATACATTGACAACAAATTTTAATAATATTTGGTATTTGTCGTATTGAATTATCATTTATTGGTAAAGAATTTTCTTGAATAGTACAAGGTGGTAATGAATGAATATAAGCACTATATGATGATGTTAAATCATTTTTTGATCTTGGAATATATGTTGATGATGAATGTGTTAAAGAATCAGTGAAACGAAAATATGTATTTAATGAATCAATTATTAAATTTTCTGTATTATTAATAAGTTTATTAAGTATAGTTAATGTTTCATATTTTGTTTCTTGAAGTTCTTTTCGTTTTAAATCAAAATCATTTAAAACTAATTGTATATTTGTTTCATTTGTTGAAAAAGAAGAATTTGCCATTGGAGTCATATGCATATTTGGTGGTGATGATGCTGTACGTTGAAGAGAACTATGTGGTAATAGCACTGAAAGATTTGCTGAATGTGTAATAGCATCTGACGATGTTGATGATGATGATGAAGATGTTGGAAGATGCATGACTGATTTCGAATTTAAACGAGCTTCTTCTAATGTTTGTGATGTTTGTTGCTAAAGTTAGAAATTTAAAGAAATTAGGTCAATATTTTAAAAACATAGGAACTGATTCCTGCAATAGAAGACCTTCATGAAATTTTGTACACTTCGACATATTAGATGATCTATGATTAGAGCTCGTCAGATCCAGATTCGAATTCAGTCAAACTGTACTTTGATACTTTCAATGAAATTTTCTAATCGAAATTGGATAGGCACCCCGAAGATACTAGATACTTCTTTTCGACTTTTGGTATTTGGTAACAAGTGCACTCTACACATTTTTAAGACGATTAGAGCCCATCAGGTTCAAAAACTCTGGATCCGGAGACAGAAAGAATACTCCTACCTTTCGTCTACCTCGCAGCATGCGATGCTACCTAGTGACAGATCCAGTAGCCCGATATCTGCCGTACAACTAATACTAGCTCTGGACAGAAGGCTAACGTGACGCAGAGTTCTTGTACTCAATTGCTTGGGCTTCTCATACACACTATCTAACTATAAGAACAAGTGCATGTCAAAACGTAGTCAGCATGTTATCGAATAGGTGATTCAAGGCAAACAGTCGTTAGTGACTAGTCCAGGGTCATTTCATAGCTGGTGATACTAACGTTGGAACATAGTACTTTGTAGATACGTATCGAACACCATAGTTACTCAGTCATAATGGCTGGATTTGGGACTAATCAGACGGGCTTTATCCAGGACAGTATTTTATCCAGATTTTCTCTTCCAGAGAAGTGATTTAAAATTTCGAGAGCATCGATCCGATCTTCGAAGGAATGCCATTCCCACGCTAGATAAAACGCTGATCCGGAATCTTCTGTTTATCTGATTGAATTACACTTACAAATCTTTTTAAACATTTTTCCCATTGAATTTTAACTGTTTTTCGTACATTATCATGATATGTTCGCCAAGAATCAAGTTTCTATAAATAGAAACAAAAAAAGTAAATATCGAATATGTAATTTCGAAATTAATTAATATAAATAATTTACTCCAACAAATTCATGTGTTTGTAAAAGCATCCATGTTGATTGTATATTTGTATGATGTGTTGCATCTTTTTTTAATGTTTTTATCATTAAATCAATTCCAGGTAAAAAACGATATGTTGTTAAAAATGATGATAATGAACAATTATTAACTATTTTTGATGTTCGTTCAGCATGTTCAATTTCTTCAGTAGATCGTTCTTGTACATGATGCATTAATGAAAACATATATTTTGATAAATATTTTGCATGTTCATGTGCTATATCAACACCATCAGTACGTTTCATAAGTATTTCAAGTATAACATCAAGTTCTCGGTTTGAATTAATACTATCACTTTTATTATTAGGATCTATTGTATCAGAATTTGATGATGGAACAACGAAACGATTTGATATTCTTTAAATAAAAATATAAAATTTTTCTTCTTTTTTTTCTTTTTTCGAAAATTTTCTTCATTTGATTACCTCGCTGTTAGAGAAAGTGCGAGTTGATCAATGACATGTGAAAATGGTTCAAAATTGTAATTTGTATTTTCAGATGAATGAACATCTAAATACATATATATATATATATAAAAGCTTATCAGTACAATTTCTTTGAGACTATAATGTAGAATTCACATGTGTTCTTTAGCCTCATTAGACTAATACAATATGTATTAAGAGAAAAATCTCTAGCAGACTATAGTTATTTTCCAAGGATAGTTGATCACCAGGAAAACGATCTGTCTTAATTATTTCCGCATTTCGAACAGAACTGTTTTAGAAAATATCAACAAATGTATCTCAGTTATACAATGTTCGAGAAGGTCAAGTCTTGCTGTTCATATCGTTGAGCAGCTTTTTCCGTTGCTAAGAAACTCTGGGAAAAGAGTCTGACATCTGTTGTCCTTGGTTGCTATGACAATGTACCCAAGGATCATTGACTTTTCTTCCCCTATGGTTATGGGGAAGGCTGGGGTACAAAACCTTGACTTAAGATTTACACTCACTATATTTTTTTCTTCGAAAAACATCATTTAAGTTCCAAAAAAAGAAATAGAATATTGCTTTTTCTTTTTACCTTGTAAGAGATGAATTAATTTTGCAGCATATTCCAGTACATCAATTGAATCAATTAATTGATAAGTTTCAATAATATGTTTAAGAATTGTAAGTAATTGATTTAAAATTGTTGGCATACGTTCTAAATCTATAAACAATATAAATTAATGAAAATGTTGTTGTTGTTGTTGTTTTTTTGAATAGAAAAATCTTTACCTCTTCCATCAACTGCTTCTTTAAAATGAACCATAGCATCATTGAAATTTTCCAAATCGATTAATATATCGTCGTCTGTCATCTTCAAATAAAAAGAAAACAAAAAAAAAGAAATGAGAAAGAGAAAGATCTTCTAAGAATTTGAATTTCTTTTTTCATGCGAAGCATTTTTAAGTTTTAAAAAAAAAACGAAGATAACACAATACACCAATATCAGTTTGCGTATGCCAATAAAAAAAACCTAACAAAATATACAACAGTAGACTCTAGATTATGTATTTTGTTTTCAATTAAACGGAAGAAATATTTGAATAGACTGTTTCTAGTTTTGCTGAATAATCACAGTAAAAACAAAAAAAAAAAGAAATTTTTTGTTTTTTACTGTTTCAATGTCCTATGATAACAGAAGAAAAGATTGATTAAACATATATTAATATACTGTTCTCTATATGAAAAATATATTCGTCGTTCAATCATTATGTACAATAACAACCATTAAATGTTCATCATTAATTGTTGTTGTACTTGAAAAATGAATTGATGGACAAATTATTTTTAAAATTTTTTTACTAAATAGACATGAGGGAAATATATGTATAACAGCCGTTTCTTGTCTAGATGAATGTTCATGATCACTATGATAAGTTGGATGAAATGGTATTGATATAACACCAGCTGCTTCTTTTCTACAAACAAAAACAAAACAATATAATTCTATAGAATAGAATGAAAATAAAATTTAAATTGTTTCCGATTGATCTATTCTGATAGATAGTTGGAAGACAATACTATATGCAGAAATTACGTGTCTTTATACTTACTCAACTAAATAAGAAATCAAATGAGAAAGTAACGAATCATCATCATCATCATCATCATCATTATTATTATTATTATTATCAGTATCATCATTATCTATTTTTTCTTTTTTTATTTCAAGATGTTTTTTATCATTATCTCCCATATGTGATGGTGAAGTTATTTCATTTTTTATTTTTTCACTTGATATTTGTTTTTCAATTGAATTTAATGATCCATTTAAATTATTAATTTTAGGTGTTGCAATAAGTATAGAAAATTTTGTTTGATTTGCAGGTGTTAATTGTTTGCGATTATTAACTGATGTTAAACCATTTAATGAATGACCATTTATATTTGTATTTGAATTATTTCCTGTTATAGCTAATGCATTTGTAACACTATTACGAAGTTTTCGTTCTAAATCTTCAAGTTTATGTTGATCAAGACGAAGTCGTTGAGTAATTTTTAATTCAGTTTTTGCTGCAATTAAATCACCTGGTTGACCTAATTAAATAAAAATGTTAAATATTTTTAAACAAAAAAATAAAATAAATCAATACCAAGTAAAATACTAGCCAATGTTGGACTTCCAGCAAGAAAATGCATACGTGCATCATAAGCATGAGATTTAAGTATAAATTGAACAGGATAAACAGTTGCTAAAGCAGTATTACTTTTTGTTGCTGATGAATTTAATTGTTCACAAAGAATCATTAAGTCATTTAGATTATTTACATTTGTTGTATCATTTGGTGATAAATATGAACCTAATGAACCATAAAATGTTCGTCCAGCAATAGGAGTTAAATTTGTTAATAGTGAATTTTGACTACGATCTGTTGATCGTCGTTGTTTTATAGTATTTAATATTGGTGGTGGTGGTGTTGGTGAACGTGAATGTATTTCAGTTTTAAGATTTTCAATTAAATTATCTTTACTTTGTTCATTATTATTAATATCATTTGATGGAGAATGTGTGTGATCATGTGTTGATGATGCAGATGATCTTGAACGTGATTTTGAACGAGATGGTGAACGTGATTCATGTCTATTCGATGATTTTTTTTGTGGTCGAACAATAACAAAACGTCTAGATGTTGGACGATCAAGATAATCAATACGAAAACCTACGAAAAATAGACAGCTATTAGAATAATCATCTTTGTAGGATTAAAATATGAAACATGACATGATTGCTATTGCTAATCATAAGGGAATTGTTTTATTCTATCTATTTTAGGACACATTTCTCTATCATCGTTTTATTTAATCCTCCAGAAATGCAATCAGGAAGACTTTGCTGATATACGGTCTGTGATCGTATATTGTAGTCTACCATGGTCTCTGGCTAGCGTCTGTCATCATAGTCTCAGGCTAATGTCTCTCACAGTCTCTGGCTAGCGTAGGCATAGCTTTCGTTTGATTCTATTTAAGGGGGAGAAGAGTTAAGAAAGAAATTCTTTCAAATATATAGAGAAAGCATTCATTCATCAGATATTTTTTCAGAAAAATATTTTTTTAGCTGAAACTTTTAGTACTATCGTTATCAATCGTGAACACTTTTTCTTTCGTTGCTATTCCTCCTGTCAGTAAATTCGTAAAGAAACTACTGATCAATGTAAGGATATATCTTTATTATACACAAAAACCGTCTACATTAACAGTTTCAAAAGTAATGTTTTTTTTTTCTAATAGTTGTATGGGGCTTTGTCTATTGTTCATATATATTGTAATATAGATGTGAAGGAGAATGTGAATGTTCTTCTTCTTCTTCTTCTTCTCTTCATTCACATCTTTCACTATTGGGGAAAGTGAACAATGTGGATCTATTTTAAACTCTATTGCTTTACCTAGAAAATTGATCGTACGCCACCAATGGTATTCTACGAAACTTTTGTAAGCATCATATCCGAAAAAGTACACTATATTAGTATTTTATGGAAAATTTATGTAGTTTAAGATATTCATCGTATACCTAATAAGCTATTTGGTTGAAAGATATTCAGTAAAAGAACATTTGAAGTTGCTATTCAGATCTGAAGCTAAATTTCGCACATAATATTCTGTAGTATCTATTAAATGAATTTAATATATATTGACAATGAAACTATACTTTTGATATTTGTCTTATTTTCTATCTTTTTATATTACTCTTCAAAATATGACTTGATTTAGCTTTTCTTTGAAAGAAAAAAAAAAAGACAGAAAATTTCCAGGGAGAAACGAAGAACGCAAGAAAAGAACGAAGAAGAGAACATCATCCTACTTTCTCTTTCTAATTGTATGTATTGAGTATTGGTCACAGTTCATGATGATTTCTAACTAGCGTATGTTACGGTCTATGATAGTCTCTAACTATTGTCTGTCCGAGAAAGGATTCAAATCTTTTGTTCCTATATTTCAACACTCCTTTTGAGATCGTATTTTACAAAATTAATAATACAAAATAATCTTATCTAATTGTATTTTCTTACCAAGACGTGATGATGATGATGATGATGATATATCAGGTTCATTATGTATTACTCGTCCATCAACAATTTTTATTGTACCATTAAGTTTTGTACGTGCTTTAATTGCATCTTCAATATCACTATAAGAAATAATAGCTGTTGGATCACCTGATGAATAATCAAATGTTTTAATTTGTCCATAACGTGAAAATGCATGTTCAAGATCATGTCGTTTTATATTAACGGGTATATTTCCAACCCAAAGATGTTTAGTTGGTACAATTTTGCCTGAAAAAATATATATAATACATATGGAGATATCCAATAAACATTTTCTTCGTGATATAATCCATTAAATATATATGCGTATTTATAAGTAAAGAGAAAGAAAGAATTTTTTGCAAACTCTCGAATAATTATTAATGTTAATATGTATATAATCAATGATGATTTTGATATTGTTGAACTGAAAAAAGAGAAGATTTCTGTCATCTATGAATGTATATAGTAAGAGATATAAGCCAAAATTCAATAGAGAAAATATCTTTCACCAATGAATCAATCTATCATCATTATCTTATTCTTATATCAAAAAGTATCATAGCAAAGAAATGGATAAATAGAAAGAATGCAAGAATTAAAGCAAAAGAATTGTCGAACAATAGCAAAAACAAAAAGAATATAATAGAGAGATAGAATTATATTAATAAAGGCAATTTTCATTCTTTTATATATATATATATATATATACTGAAATAAATGAATCATATTATATAGCACCATTATCAAATGAAAATATTATAAGCAAAAATTTCACCTTAAACCCACTTGACATACAGATATATTATTCATACATACATTGCTATTTTATCAAATATATTTTATCAATGAATAATAATCTGTAAATGACATGATGATTTATAATTGTTTTAAAATGTTTAGACATATATATGTATATGTAGTTTTGTTTTTTTTTTCTCATACGAATAATTATAGATCTATATCAATCTCTCAAATATAAATATATCATCATTATATAAAAATTCACATTAACTTGATGTGTTTAAGACAATTAATATAAAATTTATGTCAGAATCTCTAAAACGACAAGATTAATCAACATCAATATGAGAAAAGAACAAAAGAGAGATGAATATAAACATATAATGAAGCATATAGACACATACTCTATATATAAAAAAACTTGGGCATAAAAAAAAAAGAGTGAGCGAACTTCTTTCTTTCTTTTTTTTTTTGTTTAAGAAGCCATTCAATAAAGAAAAGGATTAAAACGAAACAAAAGATGCATAATTATTTACGCACCATAGCCAATTTTACAATCAACTTTTCCAATAGATCGACCATTCATAGCGCGACGTGCTTCATATGCCATGTCAACATTTTCATATTGAATAAATGCATAAGCACGTTTTGATGATGATGATGATGATGGTTTTTTAAGATCAACTAAATTGAAATCAATCTAATTAAATTTTCTTCATTAAAATAATTCTATAATTACTTTGTTTAATTGCTCCATAACGACCAAATAATTCTTCTAATTTTGATTCTGTTATATTTCGTTCAAGATTTTCAATTAATAAAGTACGTGTTGGTTCATTTTGAATATTAGAATCATTATCTAAATTAGTTCGATTTGATGATAATGATGATGTTCGATGATTATTTGGAGTTGGACTACCTTGTTGTTTATGATGATGACGACGAACAGGTGGTGGTGGCGATGGTGATGACAATGATGCAGGTTCTTGTTGTCGACTAGATTTTTTTGTAACATAATCAACTAAATCAGGTGGTAATGGTATATATGGTGAATATTGTCGACGTTCTGGACGTGATGAACGAGAAGGAGATTTTGTACGTTGACGTCGTGATGATGAACGATGATGAGAACTAACAGGTGGTGGTGGTGGTGGTGGTGAAGGTGAAGGAATTGGTGGTGTTAGACGACGATGTCGTCGATTTGATGGAGAACGTTCTCGAGAACTTTCAGGTTTCATAGGTTGTTCAGCTGGAATAGTTTTACGATAATAAACTCTAGATTATAATATAAATTATGTTTGATGAATAAAAAAAAAAAAACTCCTTACGGTTCTAAAAGAACTTGCATATTATTCCAAACAAGACCTGTTTTAGCATGTTGAGCTTTTCGTGCATCTTCAGAATTTGTAAAATTAATAAATGCTACACGTTCTTGATTTCTATGATAAATTTTAACTGAATTTGTACCATATTTAGAAAATTTTTTACTACATAAATCTCGAATTTCTATTACAAAAAAAAAATAGAAAATTAAACAATATAATGTCAATTTTTTCTTTCTATTCACCTAAATCTGATATTTTTGGACTAATATTTTTTACACATATCGATGTATAATGACGAGATGGATCAGATCCACTACCATGATTACGATTATAAGGATCAATTGAATTTGATGGTTTTGAACGTTTTGATGGTGGTGCATTATCAGATGGTGAACGTGAATAACGTGTTCGACGAGAACCACCACCACTATATGAGCCTGGAGGTGAATTAATCATTACTTTGTTCGTTGATTTAATAGATTTTATATGTGAAGAGAAGAAAAAAAGAATATTAGATGCTTGATTGCCACTTGAGTATCCCGGAAAAAAGAGATGGTAAAAGGGAACAACAATAATAAATATGCCGTATGGTATTCCATGGATTTTAATGTGTGGAAAAAGAACTTTAGAATATTAATGCATTTATGCACTTGAATTTTTTATAAAATTTTTGTTTTATTTTAAATTCTTATGAAATTTTAATATTTTAGTAATAGAAATAAATTAAAATATTTGATTAAAAATGAAATGAAATACCGCGGAACAAAGAAACAATGACACATTGTCTTGTTCAAGCATAACTTTTTGATCCGATTTTTTTTTGTCACCAAAATAAAAAAAAATGCAACCAATACAGCAGTTAAAATCGGATATTGTACTAGCACCATCTCCACATCCAACAATCAGTTCTATTGTCGGAAAAGTATGTTTCAAATAACATATTTTCAATTATAAAAACTATGATAGGTGTCAAATCATTTAAATTATTCTGATGAAATTTATTTAATCTAGATTAATAGTTAATCCGAAGCAGAGGCCATCAGGTACAAATTTTTAAGATCCGGACTCGGTTGAACCATACTTTGATACTCTAAATGACGTTTTCTAATCGGAATTGGATAATCGCTCCAAATATACAAGACAGTTTTTTTTTGTATTCGGTGATTAGCGCGCCGTACACATTTCTCAGACGACTACTCAATGTCGTAGTTTCGGATAAAATGCTTTCTTTCATTCATATGCAAACCTATATATGCTATATATTCAATAGTATATGCAATTGGAATAAGAGCAGAATTAAACTTGCGTTGAGTTTTTCAATTGAATTGTGCTTGAGAATTAATATTCATTTTCGTATAGGAAAACAATGAGCCATCTACACCTTTATCGATCAAACGAAAACAAGTATTAATTAATGAAAAGAATACAAATATTCTACAATTATGGGATCAAAAATTACGTTTATCAAATGATCGAATGGAGGTAATATTTTTTTTCTTTTCTTTTTTGTTTATTATCTATATTTCTCTTAAGGCTTATGCTCTTAATGAAATGGCAAATATTGAACGATTACGTAATGTTGAACAATGTATAACTTCTACAGTTGATGAAATTACAAATGAATTTAAACAACGTATTCAATCGGTTCTTTCAGATAATCAATTATTATTAAGTAATCCAGAAAATAAAAAAAAACAAGTTTTTATTCATCCAAAAAAAACAACTAATCATTTTTTTTCTCATTAAGCACAAGTACCGCATACATTAGCACCATCAACTCTTTTTAAAGATGGACAACAAATGACAAGTGAAGCATTTTTTGATGAGATGAATGTATAAGAGAAATTTCTATTTTCATTTTTGAATTATATAGATTTTTTTTTAAAATTTTTGTAGAAACGTTATTTTACTAATGATAAATCATTTGAAAAATATGCTGAAACAATAGAATTATTTCGATCAACATATTTAATATTAAAAAAAAATAATGATCAATTACGAACACAAATGAAAAATCTTGATATAAATCAAGAATTACTCAAAGTAAAAATTTCATAATAAATAATTCATTATATATATATATATATATTCTATTCCTTTTTTTTTAAATAGATGCAAGAACAATTAGAAAATATTTTATTAGAACGCGATAGTTATATATCATTATATACAATGGCTAAAATACGTGCTGAAAAAGCTGAAGAAAAAAATAAAAAAACTCATGAACAACAACAATCAATTGTTGAATTACTTGTTGAAAAATTTGGTTTTATTGATCGTATACTTGATACAAATACATTATTAGCACGTGATTTATTTAAACCTGATACAAATATTGAAATATTTATTAATTTTAATGTACAATTAAGTACAGGTGAACAAGGTTATATTGAAACAGCTGAAGGTTGTCCATCAGGAAAATTTAAAATTTGTATACCAAGTATGTATTAACAAAATGAAACATTATATTCTCTATTTGATAATCTTTTTTTAGATGGTGTTTCATCTGAAACAAAAGAATTAATAATGAAAAATGATGATGAATCAATAGAACCAGTTCGTGTTATTCTTAAATTTCGAAAATATCTCTTTCAATCTGATATTAACTTAGATCAAACGAATTAATATTGATTGTATAAAGAATTCTTTTTTTTTTCTACTGTGTATTATATGAATGCTACCTTTGATGTTTCTTGTATAATAAAAAATATAATGATGTTTAATAAATGATTTATGATGAGAATAAACTAGCCTAAGGGTAATCAGTTACCGAGAACTTTTCAGAAGCGAACTACGACTGATGATTATTAATATTTACTTTGAACTATCTTAAGGCGTTATTTTGTATTTTTTGAGTGGAAAAGTGTAGATTCCCGAAAAATTTTCAATAGACTTTAGAACAGTTCATAAAACTTCCACTAATGCAGAAATTTCAATTTTGTCCATCCTCGTGTTACTACATAGGACGTTCTTAACTGTTATGAACTGAAGCTGTCATATGATATGGATGTACCTGGACAGAAGACCACATCGACGCTTCAACTACCAGCATCGGATAAAATTACCATCATATCCAATCTGATGTGACACAAAAAAAGAATAATTTAAAAAGACTTTTTTTTATATTCTTCCCTATCTCTTGAGATTTATCATAGAAAAAAAAAATCTCTTATTCATCGCTGATAATTCACCGAGGAAGTGAAAAAAAAACCAACTTGAGAAAAAATGACGAAGATACGAGAATTATAAATAACAACCGATGAATTGCACAGATAATAAAACAAAAAAAAGTATTACTCATTTTTATTTCAATAGAACAAGTATAATGTTTCTATTGAATTTTATCTCATATATAAATTCAATAACAAATATAGTATACATATAAAACTAATTTATTAAATATCACTTTCACATGTACAGAAATGTTTGAAGACGTGCAATCATTCAAGAACATGTTATACTTCATTTAATAAGGTGTCTGAGTGAGATTGGCACAATATATATGTATCCTCCATCACACTCTTGCTAAAATAATTTTTTGTCTTGAATTGGTAATTATCAATCATTATTCTTTCAAAATTGCAAACAGGCAAAACTAAATTGAATACTCGATATGTTGGAATGAATTTTTATTTTCTGAACTTTCATTAAAATAATGTCCGTTTTGATTGTATGTCAATATTTTCAAATATGTAAAAAAAAAAAGATCTTTTCGATTTAACATTCGATTGAAAAAGAAATTATTAATAAAAAAATATTGAAATAAATATAAAATATAGTCCGATGTTTTTAAAACATATGAGGTCTATTTTGTTTTTATCTTTCTTTTTTCAAAGTAAGAAACCACGAAACACTTGTTTTTCACTTGATTACTACTTATGAGATTTTACACAATGTGTAAAGCATTGTAAAAAATATCTAATATTTGAAAAAAGTTTTAATTCTTGACTTTTGTCCAGTCAATGCACAATATTTCGGACTCAATTGTGGAAAAAAATTATAAAAATAAAATTTACTGTCACTAGTACTCAAAGCTGAGCATTTTCCCTTTAGTGTTATTAGATGAAGATGTTCAAAATCACAAAGAAATAAATCGTTAAAAAAATCTACTTATTGAACAAGAAAACAGAATGAAAAGAAATATATTTAAGATAATTTGCTGTGGCTACATTGAATAAGTATTCAATATCATAACCAAGCAGTACATCCAATGTTATTGTCAATAACAGTAACAAACATAATCTTTGGATTGTCCATGAATGAGAAACTATAGATAGTTTGTTTTTGTTTGTGCTACGACATTTTTATAACTATAATTTAGAAGTACATTATCAGTCGTATTGATAATTCTAAGTTTCTCTTTGTAATCACTATTTAGATAATCGACAATAAGTGAGTATGAATATCCATCGAAAACATTACTTATGCTGCAAAGCTTATATTACTAAATGCAAGAAGTACAACAGTTGTATCAGCAATAATAAGATCTATGTTACTGTTGCCGTTGAAATCGCTCATAACACATCACTGTTGATAACGATTAAAGTTTTGTAGGTAACCATTAGAGCAAAAATTATTGTATCTGTTGAAGTAATGAGAGAGAAAATAATCAATTAATTGCTGAATTATGCAATGAAATATACAAGATTTTCTTCTAACAGTCGAGTTTTATTATTTCACAATCTGAGATAGATCGAATGAAACTTCAATTCTATTTTATCATTCTGAAAAACTCATTCAAAAATAGCAAAACAACTATTTGTATTCGTTTACACTATTTAACGTTATGAAAAATCTATCAATTCAAGTTCACACTTGTATATCATTGTCTCATGATCTTGTATCTATCTCATTCTTGTAATCTTTCTAATGTCCATTTAAAAAAAAAAATGGATGAGGATTTCTTGAATAACTTTTGATAGAAATAGGATAGAGCGTTGCATCTTTTTTCATTGGAAAGAGGTGATGATGTGATGTCGCATCGAATCATATATTATAGGGTTTCCTAAGATGTTTTATGAAGCTTTTTTAATCAAATTTATAAAAAAAAGTATCGGAAAAATTGTTCTTTTAACATAAGAAAAAAAAAACAAAAATGTAATTTTTTTCACAGCAATTACTTAAAAATTTGACTGAGAATTTTCACTAGAATGCCTATAACTTCTGAATAACTAAATCTAAAATTCTGAGACTTGTATAGTTTTGTAGATCTTCCATTGACAGTTCAAATGCACACTTGATAATTAAAAATTCACTATAGTCACTTCACAGGGTACGTTGATTTTCAAAACAGACCGATGAAAAAAACTACAGCGCTCTACCTTATTTCTATCAAAAGTTATTTAAAAAATTTTCAACCGTCTTTTCTTTTAAATGAGTATTAGTACCAAAATGTTCGTTTTAACATGTTCTTTCTATTGATATATGATTCAATAGAATTGGCCAAGAAAAATACATGTGGATAGATTTGATCTATCATATGCATCTCTTTCGTTTTTAACAATTTCGAAAATAAACTTGAATTGATCTTATTGTTGTTGTTTTTTTCTCAATATCAATCTTAATAAAACTTTGTCAATAAATGTTAAAGATGCATATCAACTAATTTGACTTAATGAAAGAAATTTCTTCAACAATCTATAGTTGATGTCATTAATCACTGATCTACTGACAACATTATCATTATAGGGTGAAATGTGAATGTAAAAATATGTAACAACGGAAATGATGCACAAAAGAAGATAAGTACTTGTATATAAAAATAAATAAATATATATCTATTGCCAATTAATCTTTTCTTAATCTTAGTATATTAATCATTCTATATTTTAAATCTTAAATAATTAAATAAATTTAAAAAAATAAATTATTTTTTTATTCAAGAAAAAGAAAAGAGCGCGACACATTTTATTCTACAATTGCAAATAATACCTGATTTTTTAAAACAAGTTAACGTTTCGATCATAGAATAAAAAAACAATACGTCCTTGTATACCTCAACAGTTGGTGCCTTTTTTCTTATAATATGCAAATGAATTATGCGCTCGAGACATCTTCAATTGTCATCATCATCATCAATACAGCAGTAGCCAAATAGTATATTTCTTTTCTTTCTTGTGCACACAACATGGAATTTATTTTCTTAATTTTCTTCTACTAGTCACGTACAACAATCAAGAAGAAGACAGATATGGCTCATTATCAGATAAGCATCATTTTTCAATAATAAACAAATTGTCAAAAAATATGAACATCTTCGAAAGAAAAAACGATTAGTCAATTTCTTGTTTGAATAATGAACTTGTCTTTATTGATCTACAGATATTTAGTGAAAAAGAAAAAAAGAAAACTGAGAGAGAAAAAATGATAATTTGATTTTTTATTGGTGGAAAATTGAAATAACATAAGAACAAAACGAACTATATAAATATCTGATCATATAAATGATTATCAATAGAATATTCTCTTATAGAAGAAACATCAATGAAGGTTAGTTGTCGAACAGGTTCACATTTGTTTGCTGATGTTTTTTAGTAAACTAAAATAAGCAAGCACTTGTGTATCTGTACGACATTAGCCAATAGTCGACGATAATTATTAAAATTTAAAATACAAGTTAAGTATCTCAAATCGAATGATTTTCAAGAAATAGGCTCATTACCTGTGAACTGAACGAGGCATTTATATATATATATATTCAGTTGCCAGGTTTTCAGCCCTCTCGCGAGAATCGATACGGATCAATGATACTTATTGCTATTTATTATGAATTCAAAATTTTATTTCTCTTAATTTGTCAATGGATCATTTAACAAATTTAAGTTTGTATCTTGAAGCTTAATCTTCCTAAACTATCTAAAAATCTCAATGAAATAACTCATGTGAATCAAAATGAAATCTTATGTATCAGTCAATTTATTATTTTTTCTCGAAACTAATAAGTAATCCAAAAGTTTTTTGAAGAAGTCGCTCAAACCTAAATGTTGTTTTCGTTTTTTTCTAAGAATTTGGTGTGAGCGCAGGATTGGCATCTGGATACCAGTCTTTTTTTATCACACCCACACCCTTTCAAAAGGAAGCCTTTTGAAAAAACACATGATTACCATTGAGTGCCATTATCTATCAATTACTTTTTATCAAAATATATGGAAATTCTTATATATTAAAGAAAAATTAAGAGATAGCAAACCAATTGAAATGAAGCAAATAAGCAAGTTGTTTTTTTTTGCACATTTAATAATATAGACGAGAAGTTAATATAAATGAATCATATAGAAAAACAAGAAATGGAACGTATTCATGCAGAAACAAGAAAAAAAAATCTGAGCGCGGGTTTAACATTTAAACTATCAAGTTTTACTTCTCGTATGTCCTGAAAATACATCAGATCGGCTTGAAACGCAAGCATAAACAACAAAAAAAAAAATGGAATAGTTGAATAACAATGAATAATAATAGAAAAGAAAACAATTTTTGAATAAGTATTTAAGTTTTCTAATAGTAGATATCACAAGATAAATTTCAATTAGAATCTTTAGTATCTATGCTGTTGCGGTAGTATTCAACAACTTCTTCTCCTGCTCGTTGTTTTGATTCATTAATTTCTGGTCCGTTGTGCGCTAAAGAAAAAATAAAATTATAATCATAGAAAAAAAAAACAACCGAACATTTTTCTTTATGAACAAATTGAATGCTTAGGATTTTTTTTTTGTAGACGCTTATTATAATTTGCTCAGTACTACATATATATAAACTATCAATATAAAACTTAGTAGTCAGTAAGTATTATGTTTGCTCAGTTAATTAATTCTTTGTTCAATAAATTAATAATTTGTTCAATATTAAAATTAAAATATCAGTAATTATCATTTTTTTCAATGAAAATATTTGAGTGTAAATAAAAGAATGGTTCTCGATGTTTGGTATTAGTAGTCCAAAGAACTTCATATAATATAATATATATCTTTTCTTTGCTGCTAAAATATTTTCGAAACGTTCTCTTCTTTTGAATATAGTTCACATATTTTTTCCAAGTTCTATTAGGTTTTTGTTTTCTTAATTCGTTCAAATATTTTTACCTATCGTTTGGAAAATAAAAAATATAATTTAGTATTGATCTGTTAGATCGATGATTCGTTAACAATATTATATCTAAGTTTAATTTAAACTAACAATGACAATGAAAATAATTCAAGTACTCAGTTTATGTTTCTTACCATATAAATGAAAATAAGACAAAAAAAAATAAGGTAGGCAACAAAATAGTCGATAAAAGAAATAGTGTTTAATAATACTAAAGTAGTAATAAAAAGCATTATGGATGCAATAAACTTCTGTTAATTGTAATTATACTAGTTTTTTTTTACTGATATAAATTAATATAATAAACTGAACAAATAAATTAAATACTGAGTCTTTTTTAAATTAATAACTGAGCTTGTCAAATTATTTATTATTCTAAAACTAAGTTTTTAACTGAGCAAAAAAAAAAGCTACTAAGCGTTTGATAAGAAAAAAAGATCCTGTGCATTCATTATCAAATATTGAGCAAATAGATACAAGCCTTTGTCTTTCAGTTCTAATGTACGACGCTATATTTTTATAAATAAGAAAGTTTTTTTTTTTTTTTTTTTGTTACTTTATTTATTTTTTTTCTTACTCGTCGATTCCAGAAGAATAATTCAGTTACACCAATAGCAGCAATAACTGAGAATAATGCCACAATAATATAAGCTAATTTAAGTGATTGATGGACACTTTCACCTGTTCGAAGAATACGAAAGGCAAGTCTTATAGCACTTGCAGTTTCTTCATTAAGTGTTATTGTCTAAAAGCAAGAGAAACAAAAAATAGAAAAAAAAAATAATTTTATTTACTTGATCAATCCACACCATTGGTATAAGACGACGAACAGCACGACTATTAGTTGGTCTAAAATATAAATTAAAAATATGAATAATAGAAAATTTTTTTTATTTTATTTAATATCATACTCAGTTGCACCCAAATCATTAATTCTAATACGATCAATCCAAGCATTAGTATTCAATTGTATACGTAATTGAGCTTTAATTGGTGTACCAGTAAGTGGTTCAAAATAAATTGTTGATTCATGTTTATGAAAATCAGGTTTAAAGGCAACATTTGTTGATGATGAATTATGACCATACATATGTGGTTTTGTTAGAAAAACAGTTTCTGCAGGAAGTTCAGCTAAAGAAAAAAAAATTAAAATTTTAATAAATTTAATCGATATTAGACTTATCTATTGAATAGAAGTTTTCAATAAATTATAGATCAATGATTGAGAAAGTAAAACTAGTGTTTGTCATGTATCTCAACTGAATGTTAAATCAATTCAAAGCGGACTGTTGATTGCAGTTGACAATAGAAAATTTAGATATATGCCATGGAATTCAAAATGTTCGGACCCAGATAACAGAAGGTTTTCAGACATGGGTCCGGACTCAGATAATTAAAAACTAAAACGCATGAAGTGAAAGTCGGTGTTCCTTTTTTAACATATAAAAAATAGCTCTAGGAAAGTTTATTATCCCGAGATACACGTGTTTTAGTTTTGTGAAGACACGTTGCTAATGAATGATTTTGCTCTTGTTGGTATAGAGCAACTATTTATTTATGTTTTGCTTACTTCACCTACCAGAAAGGCAACTAGTGATATCAAGTTTATCTGATTCTGTACAATTTTCATCCATTTGTGGGCATTGATTAAAATCAACTAGTTTTAAAACAAATTCATGTAATTGATCAAAACCAAATCTTGATACAGTTCGATTGTATCGAAGTTGTACTGGTCTATTATAAGTAGAAATAAAATTAAAATTGAGCTTTTTTTTTCTTTTTAATTTTTGATTTTTCTTACCGACAAAAATCTGGTTGAAATACATTGATAACTTTTCGATTTGGTGGATTACCTACAGCTGGAAATGTTACACCATCTAAAAAAACAAAAAAAAAATATATTAAAATTCATCGAAATTCTTTGTTTGTTTTTGAATATAAAATTTACTAACCAAAAAAATCTGTTTCCCATGCTTCAGCCTCTGTTGTAAATGGTGTACTATAAGAAATAAAATAAAAATCAAGTAAAACATATCGATATCTTTCAAATCATTTTTACTATTCGGATGCAAAATTAACCACTTGTCCCTTTATAGATGAATTATGAATACCAGTATGAATTGTATAATTAAATCCATTACTTCCATTATACTAAATACAAAAAGAAATTTTTGTGTTTTCACTATTGAGATTCGAAACTAAAAGTTAAGCTTGTTATTTATTAATCAGTTTGTAGGTCAAAAGCTACTATTTCAAGTAGGTTTTTTTTGTCGTTTAATATGACGCCTCAGTAATCGACAATCGTTTTACACTGAAAGAAATCCTTGAAAAAAAAAAACTTTGTTAAAAGCGACAGCTTAGTGCAATATCACATTTTGTAAAGAAGTTATCATTAAAAAAAATACTTTTTGCAGGTAATTCAAAAAGTTCCTCACTACTCTTGAACAAAGATCAACACAACATTTCTAAGCCTATATTCAAATTATAGTCGCGACCTATATTTCTGAGCTCGTCTAAAATGCTTTTAAGCAGACTAAAATGAACAAATATATTCATTGGTCTACAAATTCCATTCAAACTATCTTTTTTTTTCGCGTTTCTAGTGAGACAAAAGGCGACTATACGATTTTCTTAACAGGATGGGATATATATGTGTCAGGCAAAATTGAGATTTAGGCAAAATTAAACAAAGCTATTAAAAGACTTGAAATTTTAAAAAAGTTAAAAAACATAAAAATAAATAGTTGATCCTATAAATTTAAGTTAAGTTATATTCAACTTTAATTGAAATTTAACTCAGTTTAGGAAGATGTAGAGTTCGCCACTTTTTTTAATGCAAATCTAATTAAAACTTAGGAAGATGTAGAGTTCGCCACTTTTTTCAATGCAAATCTAACTA